GGTGCTGTGTGTGTGTAAAATTTTAAATTGGGTCTCTTCATACAATATTTATTACTGAAGAATAGTGAATGAGTGGACAGGATACTGACCTTCCAACTATGTTCCTCAGAGTGGTATTGGGGATCTTCTTCCCAATGCTTAGTCTACCTTTCAGTATTATGTTGATTATGTCCCTGCGAGCTTGAGTAAAGCTGTGTAATGAAACTTTTCTTTAAATTTAAATCAGTGGTAGCGTTTTCAAAGATTTATTGTTATATGATTCATTAAAAAGTCTTCGATTTATTTTAACTAACTACTAAAATAATGTAGCCCTCTTCATCAGCCAGTTTTACTTCATTTCACTTCGTACAAAACCGTCTGACCTCGCAGCCTTAGATTTCGTTTGCTCGCCCGGTACTTTTTATCTTTTAACCAGTCATTGCAATTTGGTGGTCACATACGTAATGCGTCGTTAACGGGGCTAACTGATATATTAAGCTTTTCCCAAATCCCGTAGGAAGAAGGGCAATAACGTCTTTCCCCTTGATGAAATTCACCAAACATTCTCTTTGTTCTGGCTTTAAATCCTCGATCTTGGGAATCGTTGACAACACTGAAAATATGCCTCTTTGCTGACTGGCTGATGCTTGAACTTGCACTTCCGGGGTTTTTGTGACCCGTTTATTGTATTCTGATTCCTGACCTAGTCGCTGGAGAGAAATGAAATCGAGCGGAGGCACTAGGTGGCACAAGCCTGGCTAAAAATAATCAAGGCAATGTTATGAATCAGTAACCCAAAAAAATAATTATATATGTTTTAAAAAATTGCAAGGGTGCTTCTTGAATAAACTCTTGAAAGACAAAGTGCACAAAAATTTACACAAACATGTTAAAAATGTTAAAATACAGGACAAGCGAACAATACAGTTATAAGCTGAAGACCATATATATTCCATACCATTATTAGGTGTGTCCAGGGCAGCCGTCATAAGTAAAAACATATACATAGTAATTATACCTGATTAGAGGGTAGAGGGCCAGGAGCAATCAAAACAGTGAGTAAAAATAAAACGGACAATAGCCTTGTGGTGTGTGTCTGTTTGATGAATGGATGTTTTAAACCGGAACAGGAAGTCATGCCCGTTTATGGAAGCGAGCTGGCGACGCCCCAAACCCTAATGAGTACATACCGCAGGACCGCTCCGGACCACAACAGCCCCCCGTGTGAACCGACCAATCACAGGACAGGACCGGGGGAGAAGGGAACTTTCAACATAAGGTGGTTTTAGGTTTGACTGTGTACTACTGTTACTATATCACGCACACACAAGTACTAGAGCTACTAAGGAGTTTACCGCATGGGTTGAAAATAGAAAAGAATACTACTAAATCTGAACGTAAAACCACCATGACCACTGGAACCACATGACAAACACTTCCAGAGCCAGATATTCCCACTGATACTTTGCAGCTGATGTCATGAACAAAAAAGCTAACGGAAAACACTACTCTGTCTGATGCTCCGTTACTCAAATTGGACTTAATCTGAACTTTAATTTTACACAATCTGACCAGAAAGAGTTGGTTTAGTTGGAACAAAAATAGGAGACATTATTTATATTAAAGGTTGTATAGAGGATTTTCCAAGGAACGAGAAATCCAGCGACTGTTTGTCCTTTTTCAAATGTTGCGCATGCGTGAAACCACCCCCCCTCCCCTACAGCTCCCTACGTAGAAACGCCTCCTCCCGCCTCCTCACTACGCCAGAAACAGGTTTGTTTACAGCCGGTGCGCTGCACATGACTTGTAAACAACTAACTACAGTGTTGGTTAGGCAAGACGGAGAAGTGAGGAGCGGGGGGAGCGGGTGTGCGGACATTTCGTGCACGGACGAGAAGTGAGGAGCAGGGAGAAGAGCGGAGCAGAGAGAGGAGAGAGGAGAGGGAGAGGGGAGCGGAGATTCCGTGCCCGGAGAAGTGAGGAGCAGGGGGAAGAGCGGATCGGGCAGCGGGGAGAGGAGCAGGAAAGGGGTGCAGAGAAGGTTGCGCGGAGATTCAGTGCGAATGAACTAGCTACAACACGCAGCAGCAAGCGGACTCTTTCTTTGCCTTGAAAATTACGTTTTCAGACATAGGATATCGCTTTTGTGTCCTGAAAAACGTTTGACTAGCTCTTGGAAATAAAGTATGTTTTCATAATAAGCAGAAGTGACCTGTCCAGGAGTAATTTGGCGACCAATACGTCAGTCTTTAGACCCTGCGTCTGCTTCAGTTGCGCCATCGCTGGAATGAATCTCCAAGAATCACCTTAGTTTGGCTTCGCTGCTTTCCCCTTGTCTTCTTCTTTCAGCGACCTCAAAAACTGACTTTCTTTTGCGGCTAACTGCTCCTGGATTCTTGTCGCCATTGCAACAAACTTTGTGCTAACTGCGAGGAAGATATAGGTCAAAAAAAGAACTGTTGCGTTGGTGGAGTAAACAGCATCTGTGCGGCTTGCGTCTGTGGACTGCGTGACAGGTGTACGTAAACCACGTACCGGCGGCGCACAGGCAAGTCAGTTACGCTAGAAACGTAGGGAGATTGATTGACAGCCTGTCAGCTAATAGATAACGAGGCAGTGTCGTTATCTATTGGCAAATGTTTAGCCCCACCACGTCCAGAGTTGATGAATTTTTATTCTCTTTTTTTTGGTCATCATAATTACAAGGCTACTGCACCTCTATAATGCTATCATTGACAATTTGAAACAAAAAAAAATCCTCCATACAACCTTTAAGTAACATTGAGAAGTTGTCGATACGATACATACTGCTCAATACATAGGCCATGATACGATACGCTTTCGATACAGCACACTTTCAATCTGATACGATTCGATACAATATATTTCAAAACAATCTGATACGATTCAGTGAAAAACAAAGCCTAAATCTTGACTGCAATACTAAAAGTTTACTAAGTTAGTGCAAAGTTAATATGAAAAACACCAATTTTACTAATGAAAACAGTGAAAATGTCAACAAAACTGTAGCTCTGTAGTAAAATATACCTAAAAATACTCTTATACAGATCTCGATACAGTGAAGCTTTCAGTTCAATAAGGTTCAATAAAAAATAAAGGCTAAATCATGGCTGTGATACTAAAAGTCTTTGTTAAATCACTTGTTATGCAGAGTGAATATGGAACACACTCAGTTTAATTATCAAAACAGTGAAAATGTCAAATAAATTTGTTTCCTTTCTCTAAACAAGCAACAAAACTGTAGAGCTGTAATAAAATAATTTAGTAAAATACTCTTGGAAATATATCGATACGGCAGCCCATAATACTGTATACTGATACTGTATCATCACATTAAACAATACAATATATATTTAGATATTTTTGCACACCCCTATTTGTATTCTTAAACAAGTCCCTCTCACTATGTTCCCTGTCCCTGCAGATTTATCCAAAACCACAGATTTGTCCAAGTCTTATACAAGAAATGTCCCTGGAGCCCTACTTTTACCAATTTGATCCCTGCCAACAGTAAAGAGAGGCATCCATTGTCATTTGTTTAGGTAAAATACAGAAAAGCCAATAAAAAATGACCATTATGCAAAGAAAATGTGACTATGCTGACTCACATGGGCTGAGTGCAGAACAATTTTCCATAATTACGTGCGCCTTTCACAATTTTATTATTACCAGCCAGTTCAAGCCAGGAGTGTCCCAGTTTTGGAGTTTGAAAATCTGGTCACTTTACTCTCGCATAACATTACAGTCAGAGGTTTTCATTTTGTCACTCACCTTTTTTTTTTTTTTTTTCTTGAGTTTTCAGTTTTTGTCAGTGTTTGCCAATGTGTGCACTGTGTCTCCATGGTGATTGATAAACATTTCACCATTAGAGGTACATGCAAAGTCTTTTTGTTTTGTCTGTTCACAGTATGGTATTAAATATATTTACATTGCAGGTATTTTTTTTGCTAAAGAAAAAAACATGCATTGTTACTGTGAGTTAGCTCGCCTCTTCATAGATCTGATGTGTAACTTGGTCTTTCATGTTTCATTCATTCTATACGGATACAGTAATTTTGATAATAAATAAATGTAAAAAAAAAATGCATAGCACACTCAGATGGCCAATGTCCAAAAGCTTTTTTGTTGTTTTAAAAAACGTTTTGGCAAAAAAAAAAAAAAAAAAGCCTTAGTCAGATATTTTTTTCTTGCGTTGGACCACAGTCTAATATAATACTGTAGTTCAAAGCAAAAAAATAAAAAATAAAAATCTGGCGAAGGCTTTTTTTGCTGAATAAAAAAAAAAAAAAAGCTTTTAGACATCGGCTATCTGAGTGTGCAGTATTTTGCTGTTTTATTTGGCAATTCTACAAGAACTTTGGTGTGCATTTTCTGTTTCATTTAAATAAATACTGACAAAAAATCTTCATTCAAAAGCAAATTTATCTTGTATTTAAAGAACCTTTATTACTCAAAATGTGAGTTTTACACCATGTTATAATGTCAATCAAAAACATGCCTGGAGTTGTGTTTTGTTTCCATTTATTATTAGTCTGTCCACATCTCCAAAGTTCAAAATGCTTTGTTTCACCTTGTGAAGTTATGTAGCTGTAGTTTTCAAGTTAACAGCTCCTTTTACCTTTTAGATTGGCAATTCCAGGACTGAATTTACTAGAGAAGGTGTTAAACATGTGTGAATGAAACTGTTACTGTTAAATTACTGTCATCGCCTTCGCTGTATTAATCAACTCTAATGAGCACCTCCCCTCTGTATTGTGTGTGCGTCTCATTTAGTTCTGCGCTAGTGCCTGTCTGATCCTGTAACACTCCATCACAATTACACACACGTTCTCAGAGCCAGCCCCGGGCCCGTGTACTAGTACTGCCCAGCTGAGACGGAGGATTGCAGTAATGTGCGGGGAGTATGGGAGGAGAGAGAAGGAGGAGGAGGGACCAAGAGGAGCCAGGAGCCAAAGTTTCAAACACACAAGAGCAGATACAAATTGGACACAGAAGGAAATACACACACTGGGGTCAGAGTTGGGGAATGAATTTTGAATGCAAGACTAGTTTTGATCAAATTTGCAAACTAGTTCCAGCTCTAGAAGATAATTTTGAAGCTTTTATTTTGAAATATCCTGTTGATTTTTTAGAATTTAAGTCAAAGGGACAAATACAACATGCGGATACTGTTTTAATTCACTTTTTGATCATATTTTCAAGATCATTTTTGAAGAGTTTTCGAGGAATTACTTAAACATTTTTGAAAAGTCGTTTTGCCATATCTCGTTCTTTCTACTTTTTTTTTCATTTTGCACCTGTCCACTGAGCATCTGTGATTAATTTTGAGACTACACTTCTGTTTTCACATCTTTGGCTCATAATAAATTGCACTGTTGGACCTCTAGCGTTCCAGCTTGTATATTTCTGCACGCTCGCTCTACCTGATCCGTTTTGAGTCATGGAACTAGATCGTTTGGGAGGCGGAGGGGTCAAACCAGAGCGGGGCGCACCGAGGCTGTACCGGGTCGCTCTGGCCATGTGCGCGTGCCTGTGCGTGGCTCTGCTCCTCGCACTCATCATCGGTGAGTAAACAAAAGCATGGAGTGTGGTAAAAGTCTGTTCTTAGAGTAGATAAATAAAGAAAGAGCAAATGGGAGCAGGTGTAAAACTAAAGGGGACTAGAGCTGAATTATAAAGTAAGTCAGGATTGAACAAGTCCAAATCAACATTAACCAGGGCTAAAAAAGGACTGAACCTGACCTAGAACTAGAACTAAACAAGGCGGGACTGAACAAGGGCTAAACCAGGGCTAAACTAGGACTAAACCAGGACTAGACCAGAATTTTAGGCAGGAATAAACAAGTTCAAACCAACATTAACCAGGGTTAAAGAAGAGCTAAACCAGGTCTAAACTAGAACTAAACCAGGCAGACTTGAACCAGGACTAAACCAAGATTACACCGGGTCTAAATGAGAACCAAACCAGGACTAGATCTGAAATTAAGTGAGACAGGATTAAACAAGATCAAACCAACAATTACCAGGGCTAAAGAAGGACTAAACAGGGCTAAACCAGAACTAAACTAGAACTAAACCAGGACTTGAACTGAATTTAAGTGAGACAGGATTAAACAAGTCTAAACCAACATTAATGAGGGCTAAAGAAGGACTAAACTGGGCTAAACAGGGCTAAAGCAGGATTTGATTTCATCCTGGTTCACTTAAGTTCAGATCAAGTCTATCACTCAAGACTAAAAAAGGACCAAACAGGTTGAAATCAGGTCAGGTCTTGGACAAGGACTAAACCAGGTCCATTAAGGTCCACTAGACTAAAACAACGCTAAACCAGGACTACATCAGAACTAAAGTAAACCAGGGTTAAATCAGGTCTAAACCCACATTAACCCGGGCTAGACTAGGAGTAAACCAGAGCTCGAGTTTGAAACAAGGACTGAACAAGGTCTAAGTCCTGTCTTCAATTTATACAGGTCTAAAACAGGACTAAAACATGGGACTACCAGATCTAAATCAAGGGAATTATAATGGGTCTAAAACAGGACTAAAACAGGTCTCAAGTAGGACTAAGTCAATTCTAAAACAGGACTAAATCATGTCAGGCTTAAACTAGGTCCAGTACAGTTTTAGGACAAAATCAGATCTAAAACATAGGACTAAAACAGGTCTAAACCAGGACTCAGCCAGGTTTAAAACAGATCTAGAACCGGACTAATTCAACCTAAACTGACGTAGGAGTAAAGCAGGACTATATGATCAAAGTGAGTGAAGCTATTTCCTCGACAGTCTATGTAGAGACCTGCCCACGTGCTCTTATTTTTTCCACTTTCCGTTAAAATCCTATAATTTGGCCTGGACCTGAGTCTCATACACTGCTCTAGATTATAGTATAGACCGTGACTGTAAATAAACCCAGTGGAGCAGAGGTCTGGAGAGGGACAGGGCCCATTCCTCGTGTGTGTGCGACTATTTTTGGGTCATATAAGGTTTCACGTGCGCTACAAGAACATCTGAACCCCCCTAACCCCAGCAAAGCACCGTGGGAGTCTGAGTTTTCTTCTTTTTTATATATATATACTTGTATATAAGAGCCAATGTACTGAGTATTGATAGTACACTGCAAACTTCACTGATCTATCCAAGATTTTAAAACTTAATTCTAGTCTAGAGGTAGTTTATTTGAAGATAAATTGTCAAGTAAATGTATCTTGCTGCTGGGACAAATTCTTTCACTACTTTTAAGTCATTTTCTGATAGATTTATGTGTTTATGTCTAAAGTTTTGGCCAAACTGTTTTGCAGTGTAGTTGCTGAATGTTTGTTTTGGTATTTGTGGGTCAACATTAGGAGTGCTCAAAGAAGTAGTAGTAGTAGAAGTGGTAGTCGTAATAGTAGTAATAGTAGTCATAGTAGTAATAGTGGTAGTAGTAATAATAGTAGTAGTAATAGTAGTACTAGTGGTAGTAGTAAAAGTAGTAGTAGTGGTAGTAGTAAAAGTAGTAGTAGTCATAGTAGTAGCAGTAGTGGAGGTAGTGGTGGTAGTAGTAGTAGTAGTAGTAGTAGTAGTAGTAGTAGTAGTAGTAGTAGTAGTAGTAGTAGTAGTAGTAGTAGTAGTAGTAGTAGTAGTAGTAGTAGTAGTAGTAGTAGTAGTAGTAGTAGTAGTAGTAGTAGTAGTAGTAGTAGTAGTAGTAGTAGTAGTAGTAGTAGTAGTAGTAGTAGTAGTAGTAGTAGTAGTAGTAGTAGTAGTAGTAGTAGTAGTAGTAGTAGTAGTAGTAGTAGTAGTAGTAGTAGTAGTAGTAGTAGTAGTAGTAGTAGTAGTAGTAGTAGTAGTAGTAGTAGTAGTAGTAGTAGTAGTAGTAGTAGTAGTAGTAGTAGTAGTAGTAGTAGTAGTAGTAGTAGTAGTAGTAGTAGTAGTAGTAGTAGTAGTAGTAGTAGTAGTAGTAGTAGTAGTAGTAGTAGTAGTAGTAGTAGTAGTAGTAGTAGTAGTAGTAGTAGTAGTAGTAGTAGCAGTAGTAGTAGTGACAGTAGTAGTAGTCACAGTAGTAACAGTTATAGTAGTAGCAGTAATAATAATAGTAGTAGCAGTAGTCATAGTAGTCTTAGTAGTCTTTGTAGTAGTAGTAGTAGTAGGAGTAGTCAAAACATAGCCCTGGTAGTAAGACAAAAACAGTTATAAAAGTATTTCACATAACATATAGTACTGACAGTGATTGTTATACTAGTGGCAGTTGTAGTATCTACGAGAACATCTGAACCCCCCTCACCCCCGTAACCCCCCCTCACCCCAGCAAAGGACTGTGGGAGTCAGATTTAAAGACACAGGAAAAGACTGGTATATTATGACAGGAAGTTATACATAGTAACTAGTTTTTCCCCTTATTATTGTAACCAACAGAGTGAATGCACTGTTTGTTTAGTCCTGTGCCAATCTGCTTAAACTATTGCAGTAGTGTATGGAGTACTGAGTACTTGTAGTCTGAAAATATGTTAATGATTTAAATATGGTTTCCTTGGATTGCAGTTCTGTGGGTAGAAATAGTGAGTAGTATTTTAAAAAATATTGCGAGTCAGACTTAAAGACATTTAAAGACAATTTGAATATTAAGACAGAAACTTACTGCACAGTAAATATAAACTAGTTTTTTCAACTTATAGTAAAGTAACAAGAGTCAGTGTACTCTTTGCCAAGGCCAAAGGACTAAAGTTACTGCAGTAGTGGATATAGTACTGACACTAGTTGTTGAATGTTTTGTTATTTGTTGGTAGGCATTAGAAGTGCTAGTATTAGTAGTGGGCTAGTTGTAGAAATAGCTATAGTAGTAGTAGTAGCCACAGTAGTAGCAGTAGTGGTAGTAGTAGTAGTAGTAGTAGTAGTAGTAGTAGTAGTAGTAGCAGAAGTAGTAGACGTAGTAGTAGCAGAAGTAGTAGAAGTAGTAGTAGCAGTAGCAGAAGTAGTAGAAGTAGTAGCAGTAGTAGCAGCAGTAGCAGAAGTAGTAGTAGTTGTTGTAGCAGTAGTAGTAGCAGCAGTAGCAGAAGTAGTAGTAGTTGTTGTAGCAGTAGTAGTAGTAGCAGTAGTAGCAGAAGTAGTAGAAGTAGTAGAAGTACTAGAAGTAGTAGAAGTATTAGTAGCAGCAATAGTGGCAGAAGTAGTAGCAGTAGTGGCAGTAGTGGTAGTAGCGGTAGTAGCAGTGGTAGCAGTAGTAGTAGTAGTAGCATTAGTAGTAATAGTAGTATTTAGTATAATAGTAGTAATAGCAGTAGTAGTAATATTAATAGCAGTAGTAGTCATAGAAGTCAAATTAAATATAGTCGTGGTAGTAGGATAGAAATAATTATTGAAGTATTTATATTATATAGTATTGACAGGGATTGTCAATAGAAAAAGTGAAACCAAAAGTAGTACTACAGATGTGGTATTATAAGGGTTAAGGTGCACTTTATTGTCCCCATAAGGAAATTTGTCTTCTGCATTTGACCCATCCATCAGTGTGGGTCAGGATTTTATGTGAAGGATTTTGCCTGATGTTGTATTTTAAGTACTTTATACACGTGTTTCCTTAAGTATTGCAGTAACCCAGTTACGTTGTAATAATATTGATAAACAGATTAGTGTCATATGGTGTAAAACAGTGGTGCAGGTGTTTATGTGTCCACAGGGGGCGAGCTAATTAAAAGTGACTGCATTTTTTATCAGGAGCAGCAGATATCAGAGAGAGAAACACATAGAAGAGGATTATCACACTGTGGCTTTGCCTAAATAAACAATCCTAATCTAATCGGAGCACATTTTAATCTCACCACATCATTATTTTTATCAAAGACATTCTGCTCTCAATGTTAACACTGTGTTTTTAAACATTTTGCTAAGTCAAAGTTTGAAAATTGCAGCACAAAAGATTAGGGACGCAGGACTAAAGTTGTAAAGGTCCCATATTACGCAAACATGACTCTTGTGAGCTTTAAACTATGTTATGATGTTGTTACTACCTCATAAACAGACCTGGAGTTGTATTTTTTTTCATTTACACATATTTGAGTAATCCATTATTAGTCTGTCTACATCTCAAAATGCTCTGTTCCATCTTATGTTGCCATGAAGCGGTAGTTTTTAAGTTAACAGCTAGTTGTGTGCAAAAATATCAAAATATCAATATACAGTATCGCTTAATTTGATGACACAGAATCGATATCGTGGGCTGCTGTATCACTGTATCACCAAGAATATTTTTTGGTATATTTTACTCAATTATTTAGTTACAGCTCTACAGTTTTGTTGCTTGTTTAGAGGAAGGAAACTCGTTTTTGTGACACATTTGAGTGAACATATTTGAGTAAAATGTTTGTGTTTCATATGAACTTCGCACAAGAAATGGTTTAACAAAGACTTTTAGTATCACAGCCATGGTTTAGCCATTATTTTTATTGCACCGTATCAAATCGATTTGAAATTTATCGAATCGAAACTGCACTGTATCAAGATATGTATCGTATCGTGGCTTAGGTATCAGTGACTTTTTAATGATACTCAGTCCTAACAGCTACCTTTTATCTTTAGTTCAGTAGAGATGAGCAATTCCAGGGCAGAAATTACCCAAATAATTCTAGTGAAGGTGTATGGATCTTGAAAACAGTGGAGCACTTCCTGTATTACCACATGACATCACAAGGTGGAACAGAGCGTTTTCGGCCTAAATGCAACAGCAACGGGCAATTTTCTTATATATGTAAAACTATATGACAGAGATGGGACCAAGTCGTTGTTTTGCAGTAAGTCTCAAGTTTTTGACCTCAAGTCTGAGTTAAGTCCTAAGTCAAATCCTTATATATAGCATTTATATAAGGAGAAATGCTAATTTTTCCTTTTTAAATGTCTTGACAAAATCTAAGTGTGAATCAGTATGGGAAGAACAGAAAGAATTAAGATTCAAAAGTGCAATAACACTTATTTTATCAGGTAGTCTGCACTGAAATGTTCTCTGAAATGTTTTACTGTATTGTACTGCATATTACTGTAGTACATTTGAGGATACCATGTCACAGTACTTCAGCTACATCCAAAGTAACAAATAGAGAAGTGGGAGGGACATGTTCTAGTTTGTTTCTGTAAAATTCAGCACTGCATTTATCAACTCTAAAGAGAAAAGTATTTTCTAAAAACGTATATTTTTAGGAAAAGCATCAAGTCTTCTCAAGTCACAGGCCTCAAGTCAGAGTCGAGTCCCAAGTCCTAAAAATAGTGACTCAAGTCTGACTCGAGTCCAAGTCACAACCTGCAAGTCCCAACGTCTGCTATTTGAACTTGAAAAACTGCATAACTTGAATTTGGATTTTTAAGTCTTCCGCACTCCCTTTCTTTATACAAAATACATACAGTATATAATTTAGTTTCTATAGAGTGGCACCACAAACTGTAATTAAGAGAACAATCCTAACTCAGTGTGTGAAGTCAGCTTTTCCATTGTACAAAGTCTTATGCAAGTCGTCCCAATGTTAATTAAACCATTGCATTCAAAGCGTGCCTGAATATCCTCCTAAACAGTGGTTGAGGGGGTGGTCCCAAGCAGCAAGGAGGGGTCCCAACTGACTATGTGTGTCTATGGGTTTGGGCAAGGCCTATTTTTTTAAGTTAGTGCATAGAAGCTAACATTTTTGTGGCTGCATTGAAGTGTAATTATGTCGTATAGCCGTGTATGTGTGTAGTTAGCACACGCCCACTCAGGCTCTCCCACTCCTCTCCAGACTCAAGTCATGCAGGAAGAGACTCAAAAGGCTAAAAACACAAATAGACCAGAGAATCTTGAGAAATTACGCTTTGCACCAATGGACGATAACATTTTTAAACGTTTGTTGTTTTAAGTCAAGAAAGTTCTCGACAGTTTCAAGTGTTTTTGAGAGACTAGATGGCAGCCTAACAGACATTCATTTTATACAAGGGTTAAATCATACACTGCCCACACCCACAGCGTTCGGCTCCAGTCAAATGAAGCTCACAAGGCTAGCAGTTATGTCACCAAATTTTGAGACAGTTCCATATTAGGAATAGGAATTTATTAATGGACAAAATGGTGAAATAAAAACATCAGGATCACGTAGAGCGGGTTAATACGAACATTTTAAGACCAAAATGATGAGGTTCACTGCAGTAGTTACAGAGACAGGGGTGACAATTTTCAATGTAAAGTCAACTGGAGCCAAAGTCGATGCTCACTTCCTATTTGGAATGAGGCGGCTAGTGTTTAGTTATATTTCCTAGTGAGCCAGAGTGTTGGAGACGTGTGGACGTGTTTTTTTAAAATATTCCATCCAGTCCTTGTATTTGCAAAAGTCGCTGGTGCTAGGCTAGTGCATATCAATGGCCATAGTTATCCTGCCACTAAAAATTGTAATTAACTTTAGAGGTAATAATTTTAGAAGTAAAACCAACCTTGCATTTGAAGGATTTATGTGTGAGCAGCAGCAGTGAGTTCTACTTTCTGATAGAAAGCTTGGCAGCGGCGGACTGATATATGAGAAAATAGTCCCTCAATATGCGACGATTAATGCGATGCAAGGTTAGTTTTATTTCAGACATTATTCTATCAACACAGGCATTCACATCGACAGTCTGGGGTAATAATAGATTTGTTTCGGGTGTTTTGTGGAGTGGGTAAGACTGTTTTTAGTGGCAGGATAACTATGGCCATTGACATGCACTAGCCTAGCACCAGCGACCTCTGCAAATACAAGGACTGGATGGAATATTTAAAAAAGTGTCTCCACACGTCTCCAACACTCTGGCTCACTAGGAAATGAGTTCCTATATCCGGACCATTTCAATGCCTATACCGCTTGTGGAAATTATCATAATGTTATGTTATAAATATAAAAACCCCAATGTTATAAATATTGCCAGTAGATGGATAAATTTGAATTAGCTTTTTGACAAGGTGGGCATGTAGTTGGATGAAAACCAAGTAACAACAATTGCACGACCATCCTAGACAGTTGTTCCGTTTTTCTGTACCACTACAACTTTAAGCTTTTTCAGTTCTGTACAAACACCTTTAACGGTTCTCAGTCCTACCTGTAGCCAAATTTATAAAACATGAAATAATACTGCAAAAATACTTAGCCTGACATGTCCCCTTTAAGATTAAGAGTAAATTAATCAGAGTTGCATAATGTGGATGTATACAGTTGAAGTCAGGGTTGACCTAAACACAGACCCTGTGGTTTTACAGTCTGTGTGTCATTAAACGGAGAAGTCGAGCGGAAGAAGGATGTTTTGTTCTTTCGAGGAATGTGCAGTGAGTTTGTGGTCTCCGTGGAAACCATAAACATTTCTGTCATCTGCGGTGGCTCCTGTTCCACCGTCAGCCAAATCTAACACAAGCAGGAGATTGTCCTTATGTTGATGTAGTGAGACAGGAAACTGGAATACTAAGTGACTAAGTACATCTCTAACTTGGCACTTAGCACTGACAGACCAACATTATGTTATCAGTACTTGTATTGCAGTTCGCTTTAGCCGTGTACCTGGAGCGGTGTTTTGTTTTATTTGCAAGGTTTGAAAAGGGTTGCTCCATGTTCCCTCAGCCTTATGTTCCCTCATTTCTAAGTTTTGTTTTCTTTTTCTTTCCAAAATTAGGCCGTATGTTCCCACATTTTCTTTTATCATCAATTTGCATCAGAATTTATCCCCATTTCTTCAAATTTGGTCATCAATTACACCCAACCTATTAACCAGAGGCAGTTGACTACAGATGTAAAGTAGAGGTCATGGTGCAAAGGATCCTAGGTTGAAATTACTCTAAAAATAAAAATTATTTGATTTAGAGTTTAATTTTGAGAAAAAAATCTTAGATTCTATGTTATAATGTTGTTTCCTCATCACAAACAGACCTGGAGTTGTGTTTTCTTTCATTCACACATGTTTAACACACAAACTGCATATTTAGTAGAGATGCGCGGATGGAATATTTTTTCATCCGCACCCGCGACACAAAACTCATCATCCACCTGCTATCCATTTGCACCCAAGGTTTTGACCAATTTTCAAAACCGCACTCGCCCGCCATCCGATTTTAGAACAATCATATAGCAAAGAAACTAAGGAGCCTCGATAAAAATGCAAACTCTATAGCTCATTCATTCCAAAATTCGCTCAACGTGCATGTTCACATTCTTAATTGTCCGTAACAACCCCAAACTTACCTGGTTGTCTTGCGCAGCTAATTAAGTGACAACGTTTTCTGACCAGGCTATTTTTTAACCTTCTTACTACTATACTACAAGCATAGACTGTACAATGACACTCGTTTTTTCAGATGTAGGTAACAATACTTAACAATACAGGCTATATATATGTATTTTTTTTATTTGAGTAGTTAAACCGCCACCCGCCCGAATTTAATTTATAACCGCAATATTTAGGCCGAGTTCTTCTCTCAAAAAGAAAACACTCTGATCTGACTAACTCTGATAAACCAAATAAAATGAAAATAAAAATCCAACTTGTAATGTCATGTTGTAATACAGGAAATTCTCCACTGTGTTTTAAAACTGTACAAACCTGGAATCACGGATCTTTACTAAACAAAAAGGTAAAAGGCAGCTGTTAACTTGAAAACAACCACTTCATGAAATCACAAGGTGGAACAGGGCATTTAGAGTTTTGGAGAGAGAATAATCATGCAGGAACACTCAAACTTGTGTGAATGAAACATAACACAACTCCAGGTATGTTTTGGGGAAGGTAACAATATTATAACACGACTTAAAGCTCACAAGAGTCCATTTTGCATAATATAGGACCTTCAAAAACATTCATACAATGTAAAGCATATTGTGTTATTCTAAAAAAACAAAAAAACAAAAACTAGTGCCGTGACAAAGCATGCTACGCAGTTCTAATTTGGTTAAACATTGTGGCTTTTCCTCCTGTATAATTTTAATGCGCATTAGTTACATTTGATCTCATTATTACAGCATCCAGACATAAGTCTTTTTTTATTAGATTGAAGGGACAGTAATGGAATCAAACTGGACACTTTACTTTTTCTAGATGATTTAATGCCACAAAAAGCCAGGATACACAGACAGCCCATCTGTCTGCGTCCTGGAAATGCAGCAAATGACAAATTTTATCTCTTAAAAGTCGAGTTGTACTGTTTATGGTATTGATTCATTGGATTTTTATGGATTTTTAATTTTTTTTTTAAGTGCACTAAGTATCTTTTCTCGAGGAGGGTACGCCAAATTGTTTAAATGGAGCTGTTATTGCTGTGCCTTGAATGTTTCACAGTATGGCATTAAACATTCTTATCCTCATGGAGACAACCACCAGGTCAAGTTACAGGTTAAATCTGTGAAGAGGTGACTGCTACTGTACCTGTACTTGAATAAATGTGACATACAGTAGATAAGCAATAACATCTCCATGGGGACAAGCAAAAAAAAAGTTCTGTAGTGGACCTTTAAAGTGAATTTATTTGTGAGTAAGTTTATTTGTATTTGCATATATGAATTATTTAATTTCTTTTTTGTATTTTTGTAGTCTCCAGTCAAAAGTCCACTCAGGAAGAGGAGTTCTGTCTGACCCCAGAATGCATCGAAGCAGGTGAGATTTGACTTTTTTTTTCTTTTATTAAATTGTTTTAGATGAATATTGTGATTTAAAATGTGCAAATTATAACAGAATGATCCATGGATGTCATAGATTACAACTATATCGCAGACATGTGCAATATGTTTTCTTTAAAAGGTGCACTGTGTAACTTTCTGGTTGGGGATCTGCCACCTTCTTGTTTTTATGGACATGCCATTGCTTAGAATGTTCCATAGTATGGCATTAAACAGCTCAACCTTATATTTATCCAATCAAAGATGTTTTTATATCTTAAAAATACCTAGAAAAACAGGCATTCTGACTGAGAGCAGGATCGCCTCTCCCCAGATCTGACCTGTTACTTGGTCTGGTTTGCTCTCTTCAGACAAATAAATAGCAATAGCATCTTCATGAAGAAAAGCATCTGGCAGACCCTCTATCAGAAAAGTTACACAATCCACCTTTAACCAATACTCGATAAATCAATCAATGTTGTATTTACTATATTAAAAACACATCTTTTTCTTTTTCTTGTGTTTTCTGTACAGCTGGCTCTATTCTGGGTAAACTGGACCGCTCGGTGGACCCCTGTGAGGACTTCTACTCGTACGCGTGTGGTGGCTGGTTAAAGGACAACCCCATCCCAGAAGACTCCTCCTCCTATGGAATCTACCCCTGGCTCCGGCAACATGTGGACATCAAACTCAAAGGTATCCATGGGTTTATCCAGAGTTATAATAAATGACCTTTGTTGACATAACGATTATTAGCTACCCCTTAAAACAAAATGTAACCTAGGAGAGCTAAGGGTCCCCAAATTATACATAACTATAGGCAAGTCTGGTAAACAGCGCAGTAGACAGGGGAAGACAAAGATGAGTTTTAATAGCCCAGAATTGGACCGTCTTCCTATTAATTTATATAAGAATGGGACCCATGTAATAGAGATGCGCGGATGGGCTATTTTTTCATCCGCAACCGCAACACAAAACTCATCATCCGCCCGCTGTCCATTTTGCACCGAAGGTTTTCAAAACCGCACCCGCCCGCCATCCGCCGATTGATTTTAGATTTTAGAACAATCATACAGCAAACAAACTAAGGAGCCTCGATAAAATGCAAACTCTATAGCTCATTCATTCCAAAATTCGCTCAGCGTGTATGTTCGCATTCTTAATTGTCCGTAACAACCCCAGACTTACCTGGTTTTCTTGCGCAGCTAATTAATTGACAACGTTTTTCAACTAGGCTATTTTTGAACCTTCTTGCCTTCGTGTTGGATGTTGTTACATTCTGAACATTCTGCCATTGCCCGATGTTATTTCAAAGTCATAGCCTCACTCCATCGGTCTTTCTTTAAGTTTTAAATACCCCGAGTGGCAGTCTACGCTATAATGTCTGCGTGTTTTAAAATATATCTGATATCGAAACAAAAAAAACAAAAAAAAGCATAACAAAATAAATATGGCCCTATAGCCACTTATGTGTTGGCAAACAGCTGAAATAAATTAGAAATAATTAAATAAACTGCATATAATATGTGCCTCGTAAACCTTAGGCATCAATAACCCGACACAACCTTAACCTTCAGAACATAAAAACGAGGTCAAATGGGCTAATTAAGGACATGACGTACACTTCATACTACAAGCACAGACAATGAGACTCGTCTTTTCAGATGTAGGTAACTAACAATCACTTTTTTTTTTTTTTTTTTAGTAGTTAAACCGCCACCTTTAATTAAAATATAATTTTTCGTCACGTCATCCGCCCGACCCGCGGATAACCGCGGTTGTAACCGCAATCCGCGCATCTCTACCATGTAAGGCTTCTTGACCCGGGCCCCAAATATCTGTCGACGGGCCTGCTCATAAAACACAGGACAAAGGCAGCATATAGTGAAAATGTACAAATATTATTTAGACAATCATGTTAAAAATGCTTTTCTTTTATTACATTCAAAGTGCTATAGTTGGTCTTTAATACATAAAGGGCTGAAGTGTAACATGACTAAGTTTTAAAGGTTTAAAGTGCACTAAATAATACAAACTTAATCCCAACCATTAAGTAAATAAGCACCTAATAAACTACAACTACACTCTAAAATGAAAGAGAAACTGAGGTGACCAACTGGTTAAAAAAATATTAGATTTTTGGATGGTTAAAAGTCAAACAAAAAGCTGAAACACCACGAATAAAGTAAATATACATGGTCCTATATGGAGAGATCTGACCAAAAGACCAAACTAACATAGGCAAAGTTTACTAAATCTGTGAACCGAAGATATTATCATGAAATTAATCAAACAATCAATCTACAGTCACTAACTCAAAAGAAGAAGCTACCAGCCAGATAGCTTCTTCAGAAACATTGGCTGTCAAAGTCTAGTAAGCCCAGTTGTTTTGATTAATTTTGTGATAATACTAAATTAAAGCCATAAAACTCAAATTACAAGACTATATTTTTATTTGATATACTTTGATAATACACCAGTCTGCCAAAAAAGTGGGAAAAAATATTGGCATAATTGTGGCGTTACACTTTCTGTTTCAGAGCTGCTGGAGGCTCCGTCAAATGCAGATGAGCTGGAGGCCGTGCAAAAAGCCAAGATGCTTTATCGCTCCTGTCTCAATGAAAGTGAGTCCAGTGAAGAAGAATACAACATTAATCACTGAATCCTTTTGAGTAGTTTCTTTCTTTTGACACGACATAAATAATATTGTGATTTTGTTTATTTAGAAGTACACTGTGTGACTTTTACTGTGCAACTATGAAACAGTCTAGACAAAGCAATAACTTTTCCATGGAGAGAAGCAGGAGGCAGACCCCCCAATAGAAATGTTACACACTGCACCTTTAATTGGTGAAGGGTCTAACACCTGCCCATGTGGATGTTATGGTTTTGTCTAGAAAGTTCCACTGTATGGCATTAAACTTGACCATCTAGACAGATCTTTTGAGGGCAATCAGATTTTTTTTTTTCAACTTAAGAAATAAAAACATCTGTACTTGGATAAATGCCAAATAGATACTAATAATGCTATACTGTGTAACATTCTAGGTAAAGAAATAACATCTCCATGGCGACGATTGCAGATCCCACAGCAGAAAAGTTACTTGTCCACCTTTGAAAGTCTGTTTATTTGAGTATTAATTTGGCAGGTAGAAAAGTTTCATATTGCAGATTTAAGCAGATCTGGCAGGCAAAGTAATCACATGTCCATAGAAACGAGCCGTTGACAGCCGCCCATGAGAAAAGTTACACAGTGCATCTTTAAGCAGATCTGGCAGGCAAAGTAATCACATCTCCATAGAAACGAACCAGTGACACGCCACCCACCAGAAAAGTTACACAGTGCATCTTTAAGTGGATATAGCAGGCGAATAAATCACATCTCCACAGAAATGAGTCGGTGACAGCCACCCCGCCTGAAAAGTTACACAGTGCATCTTTAAGCAGATCTGGCAGGCAAATAAATCACATCTCCACAGAAATGAAAAAGTGACAGCCCACCCACCAGAAAAGTTCCATATTGCCTCTTTAAGCAGATCTGGCTGGCAAAGTAATCACCATGGAGACACGCCAACGACAGACCCTCACGAGAAAAGTTCCATATTGCATCTTTAAGCAGATCTGACAAGCAAAAAAATCCTCCATAGAAACGAGCTTGCGGCAGCCTCCGCAATGCATCTTTAAGCAGATCTAGGCAAAGAAACTATATCTCCATAGAAATGAAGTGCTGATAGCCCCTCACCAGAAAAGTTCCGTATTGCGTCTTTAAGCAGATCTGGCAGGCAATGTAATCACCATGGAGACACGCCAACGACAGACCCCCACCAGAAATGTTACAGAGTGCATTTTAAGCACATCTGGCTGGCAAAGAAATTACATCTCCATAGAAACGAGATAGTGACAGTCCCCCACCAGAAAAGTTCCATGTTGCATCTTTAAGCAGATCTGGCAGGCATTGAAATCACATCTCCATAGAAACGAGCTTGTGCCCACTTCCACAATGCATCTTTAAGCAGATCTAGGCAAAGAAATGACATCTCCAGAAAGAAACTACGTCTCCAGAAACGAACTGCTGACAGCCCCCCACCAGAAAAGTTCCATATTGCCTCTTTAAGCAGACCTGAGAAACAGTGACAGTCCACCAGAAAGGTTACACAGTGGATTTTAAAGTAGATCTAGCAAGCAAGGAAATTACATCACCATAGAAACGAGATGGTGACAGTCCCCCACCAGAAAAGTTTCATACTGCATCTTTAAGCAGATCTGGCAGGCAAAGAAATCACATCACCATAGAAACGAGCTTGCGCCAGCCTCCACAATGCATCTTTAAGCAGATCTAGGCAAAGAAATTACATCTCCATAGAAACGAGACAATGGCTACCAGGAAAGTTCCATATTGCATCTGTCAGGCAAAGAAATCACATTGCTTCAGAAACGAGACAGTGCCTGCTCAGAAAAGTTACACAGTCCTGGCTCACTCTGTGGTCTCTCGTAGGTGTGTTGGAGGATCTGGACTCGGGGCCCATGCTGCAGACCCTGAGGCAGCCCGAGTTCCGGTGGCCGGTGGTGGGCGAGGGCCTGGGAGGGCAGTACGAGTGGTCCCAGAGCCAGTGGAGTCTGCTCAACACTTTGGCCCAGATGCGAAACCAGCACAGCAAGAGCGTCCTCGTGCGCCTCTACGTCGCCCCGGATGACAAGAGCTCACTGAATTACATCATCAAGGTCAGACCGGGTTAAAAGTTATGGGAAATGAACACTGTTGTCATGGCGATTAACGATTCAAAACTAAATGCTGTGGCTTTTAGATGCTGAAAAGTACTGAAAAGTTGACTCATAGGTTTTGTTAATGTGATGAGAACACTTGAAAAGCATAGACATGGGTTTCAGATTCCTGTTATATCCAACATTTTGAGAAGTTTTCCCCATTCATAAAAAAGTATAATATTTGTATTAAATTATTTATCGCTGTGGCAGTGGTCCTACTAAAGGCCGCCACGCACTACAAGAGAATTTGCCAGATTTTGGCCGCGATTTCTTCTCCCTGAGTTCGGAGAGCCGTGACCAGACTTTTTGTCTTTGTGAGTGATTTTGAAGCCGCTGCGCTCCTCATCTGTGTGGTGTGACTGTGACTCTGAGCTGCTCTGTCAGATCAGAACCACCAAACATCAGCAAAGCTAATACTAATAATAAACGCCAATAAACCAGAGCGTCAGGGGCAGAGGAGTGACGGACACAGAGACACAAGATACAAACTCAGGATATAGCGAAAATAATGACAAGGCTTCTCATTATTCTCACCTCATTCACATTATGCATAGAAATTGTAATCTGCAAATAATGACATGGAGTTCACAAACCATGCTCTTAATCCAGTTTGAGGCATTCTTTAAAGGTAAAAAGGAGAGAGTAGTTCCTCACGTGTGTCTATTTACATCCACACAGCACACGGATCGAGGTGATGCTGCAGATTAGCGAAAGTGACTCTACTTCCTTTCTTTATCACCAATCTTTTATGCTTTAAAAATCATGTATCTGAAGTTTTGCACCACATTTCATGAATATAAATATATATAAATAACATAGTTCTGACTTGTATCTAAACTAGAAGCGCAGTGCTCTGATCTTTAGAACACTTTAAGAGTCTCAGAGCAAGTGGTTTTACTGTAGACATGAAACGGTTGACGCGATTGCACTCACAACTTTTTAGCTTTTGGTTTGCAGACATATCTCGCTGCAGTCTTTGCGATCCGAGATTTTAAGTCTCATAAGATTCTCCTCGTGTCTGTGGTGTGCACTTTTTGTCACATGTTTAAAAATCTTTTAAGACCGAAAAATCCTGTAGTGTTGCGGCTCATAATCATTTTCAAACCACTGATATAAAAAAATAATAATAATAATCTGGAGTGTGGCAGCTATTGTTTTAAGTAAGGGATAAGTTCATATAGATGTATAGACTTGGTTGATATTTGTAATTGTTCGTATTAAAATGTAACTAAAACAGATACAAGGTTTGGCACATTATTTGTTGACTATAGACGCAAAAAGTAGAAGTGTTACTCAGCTGCAAGACTAGAAAAGTTGGAATTTGTGGCTTGTTTATTTAAAATATTTCATGTAAATTCTGCAAATTTTAAATATTTTTTTTTGTGTTGCTGTTTCTATGCTGCTGCTGCCAAACTTTGAATTTCCTTTGGGATCAATAAAGTATAAACAATATCTTGTAACATCCTATAGCATAAAAATGTCCCTGTAAGCTAATTATTTCTCTTATAAAACTTTCAGTGAGTACAAGCCAAAAGATACTGAGCCCAAAATAACAACATGGATTTACTTCAGTTTCTTGGCCTTAACACTCACACTGCAAAATCGAGTTGTCCTTGAAAGCAGCACAATACCCCTTAAATCTATATTCCATTCACACTTGGTCCGAAACCACAGATTCAGTGCTACAGTGTGGACATCATGATAATAAGTGTTGTGTATTTTTATTTATTTATTTATTTATTTTTTGCAGCTGGACCAAGCGTCGCTCTCTCTCTCCTCCAGAGAAGACTACACCACCAATAGCTCAGCGGCGAAAGCTGTGAGTCTGCTCCTCATCTGTCAAACACCGTCAAAATGTTCCACAGATGAACAGTGGGAGAGAGGAAGTTATGCAACAGAGAGAGACAGACAGACAGATAATGCATGAATATATGGAGTCTATACAAGTTGTGTAATATTTTTGATCGAATACATGTTTAGTGGAGATGTTAGGAGCAGGAGTATTGCTTTTTTCAGATTTAATTCTAATTAGAGATGCACCCAGTTGTTTATGTTCTGATATTATGATCACCCAGAGACCAGAGATTATTTATGTTTCCGTTAAAACACGAAATCTGCGAACCCGGCCCCGGATAAGCGGAAGAAAATAGATGGAAAACACAAATGACATATGGGAAACAAACAATATTCAAGTCTCACGATACGATATCGTCACGGTATGAACCTCACGGTACGATATTTATTGCAATATCATGGCTCAGGATATGGTGGGGAGGCTCATGATTTGGGATGTAACAATATCCAAATCTCTTGAATGATATTTTCACTATATACATCTCACGGTACAATATTTATTGCAATATTTTGTGGAGGTAAACAAAACTGTTAATATGCTACTTTTTCATCTTAAAATGCCTTGAGAAGCCTTAAAAGTGCTTAGAACTGTTATTTCTTCTTGTAGTCAACACTGAAATGGAGCAAAGGATCATGGTCTATGTAGTTCCCTCTGTCTTTTTTTTAACTATTGCTGCACCATAACTCTTAATTTAAGCAAAGAGACTTGTAATTCGATATATTGTTATGGTCCATGATATTATTGTGAGAACTTTGACGATATGATATCACAATATTTTGGTTATTGTTACATCCCTAGAAACAATTATCCAAATATATATTTTTTACTTATTTATCATGAAGTAATTAGAGAACAGTTTTGAAAAAGTTCAATCTTACAAGATGTTTTGGGCCAATATTAGTATTGGTAAGCAAATCATCTTATTACACCAATTTACACCAAAATGAGATATTGATATTTTAGGACTGATATCAGGTTCCATCAAAATGTTTCATCCATCAAAGTATTTTTATCTCTGCATCCCAATTCTCATGCAGTATAACTTATTTGCTCAAATGTACCAAGTCTACAAAAACAGTAAGTAAGTTATGTAAGAGAAAGAGCCCGATAGTTACAGTTAGTACATCAATATAAGGAATAGGGATGCAACAATAACCAAAATATCGTGATATCGTATTGTCAGAAGTCCGACAATAATATCGTGGACTGTCACGTTATATCAAATCACAAGTTCCTTTGCTTAAATGCATGGTTTTATAGTACTAACAGCTTATGAACATCAGAAACTACATATCCCATGATTCATTTCAGCGCAGACAGCATGAAGAGACATGTTTTTTACTCGAATTCTTGGGATTATGACGGAAATAATTCACACCAAAATCTTGTCAAGTTATTTTAAAAGCAGAAACGTGTCCTATCTACAATTATATTAGCCTCTCCAAAATATCGCAGTAAATATCGTACCGTGATAATATCGTACTGAAAGATTTGGATATTGTTACATCCCTAATAATGAACAGTTTTGGTCAAATAAATTTTGAGGAAATGCTATTTATTGCTTCTTTCCATTTTAAATTGAAACTATAATCCTTCAAGTGAAATAGGTATTCATGGTACTAATTTAATTTCCTGTTTCTGGGTGATATTTTGAGGACTTAGAGCATTCAGAAGAGTTTTGAATTTTGCAATAGTCCTCATTTTTCATCATTCTGAAACCCACGGATAGACTAGACTGGAGTATGAGGATTTATATCTGTAGTCGGCATGGGTAATCAACAAAAAGGCTGTTTTACTGTGAATAGCGTCTGATTAGAGATTCAAAGTGCAGCCTGTTCACTTCATTTCATCTAAAACTAAATATGTCTGTGAAAATGAAGAGTTTAAATGTCACTTTGTAAATTACAGATCTGTGTTTCGCTAAATGCGATGCTTGGTTTTACAAGTTACTTTATGAAGTTCCAGTATAAGTTTGGAGATGTAATTCTAAAGGGGTGCTCAATGTGGCTAAAATTATACACATGATAATTTTGCTCATAACTGAAATCACAAGAATGGCAAGTACAAGTAAAAATGGACCTGCAGAGTACAGAGAACATATAGACCTAATGTTCGTATGTTTGGCATCATCACTTATAAGCATTCTTAAGTATAACTGATTGTATTTTCAATTACAGCATTTTCGTAATTTTATAGAGCAATACTCGAAATCACAATTTTCAAAACATATACAGGACTATGAGATGTACCTTTAAAAGTGACAGTAGTATTAATGAGATAAAGAAATTATTGTTAAAGGTGCACTGTTTAACTTTTTGGTTGGGGTTGTGTCACCTTTTTATTTCTATGGATATGTCATTGCTCTTCCTAAAATGTTCCATAGCATGACATTAAACACTTTACTTTACATTTATTCAGTTACAGGTGGTTTTATAGCTCAAAAATACCTAGCCTCTTCACAGATCTGACTTGTAACTTGGTCTGGTTTGGTCTCAGTGAAGATAGAAAAGTTTAATACTTTACTATGAAGCAGTGGTGAGGACTTTCAAGTCATGATTTGGACTTGAGTCAGACTTGATTTACTATTTTTAGGACATGAGACTTGACTTGACGAAATGGACTAAGACTTGGGACTTGACTCGGACTTGAGCCCTGTGACTTGAAAAGACTTGATGTTTCTCCTAAAAAAAAAAAAAAAAATGTTTTTAGAAAATACTTCTCTCTTTACAGTTGATACATGTGGTGCACATGTGGTATACAGAACAATGCAGTAAAACAGAGAGAACTACATAGAAGATGATTCTTCCATTTCAGTGCAGACTACCTGATGAAATAACTGATATTAAACACTTTTGAATCTGAATTCTTTCTATTCTACCCATAATGATTCACACTAACATCTTGTGAAGACAGTTAAAACGTGCATTTCTACAACTCTTATATAAATACTCATATATAAATTAGAGCCCGACCGATATATCGGCTGGCCGATATTATCGGCTAATATGGGCATCTGGAGACATATCGGCTATCGGCCGATATACTTGCTGATATGGGCCGATATTTCACGTGGGCATGTTATACCTCGTTATAAAGCTTAGACTCTCTACATTATGTTCATTTAATCCAATTTACAGACAGATAAATGTCCTAATATGTGGCTCCGCATCAGTATTTATCTGCGGTGTAATTTGTCTGTGTCTGTACTGTCCCTGAACACACCACCAGAGTGACGTCACTTCACTTGCGTGTGTTTGTTTACACCCGCAGCCCTGCGCAACATTGAGATTATATTCTTTTTCGGACAATCGGTTTGAGTCTGGATTAAAAGGACATTTATTAGTGCAGACTTGTGATGTGGGAGGAGCCTGTGTGAGCGGTGAGTGTTGGAAATACATCGACTTTGAAGCTAGTTTAGGTTTTGTTAGCGGTTAGCTGCTGTAGCTCCCACACATAAACAGGCTGTTTTCTATTGGTCTATTGTAAAGTGACTACATTGGCCGTATATTTGTTACTGGACCTGCATTGATATGTAAATGAGCTGTGAATAGACGTGTGAATGATCCACATTTATGCATATAATTAATTACCGCGGTGCGCAGCATTTACGGCTAAAGGCTAATAGCGATAGTTTACTAGCTAGGAGTTATGGGTCGATCGCGATCGAAGCGGCTCTTAGAGCGAACAACGGGAGCGTGCTTCTTATTGGGAGCCGTGTTTTCTCTTTTTCTCACTTTTTCTCTTCATGCCGCATGTAGACCCGTAGTTTGACAGCAGCAGCGGCTGAAAACGAAACTTGCAGAAATCTGCGTGTGCATAGGATTAAAAAAAAAGTGCATATTTGGCTGCAGTTCAGCATAAAATGAATAAACCAGGACTAATCTTGGGCTCGAGTGCAGGAGAGAGATAGAAACCGAGTCCCGACACTCAGTCCTGGTTCAGTTCTGGTTTAGTCCTGCTTGCAACAAAACAATCTCAAGAGTCGCTTGGGAGCCGAAAGAGCCAGCTGCTTTAGTGAGCCGAGCCAAAAGAGCCGGTTCTCCAAAAAAAAAAAAAAAAAAAACTGGAATCCCCATCACTAGTAGCTAGAATGTGATGCAAAAATGCCATTAGGCCAATCTACTGTATGTAAATATGATGTAAAGAGTCAAAATAACAATAAATGTTGCCTAAATAAACCCAATTTAGAATTCACTAGAGCCAAACCTACGTTTTTTAATCAATTCAAGATTTACAGTGAATTTTTACATCACTAAATATATCGGTGATTATATCGGCTATCGGCAGCGCCAACTCCCATTATATCGGTTTCATATCGGCCACAACAAAATCCATATCGGTCGGGCTCTAATATAAATATACCATGACTTTTCAAATACAGTTTAGTTTAAATTCATATACATTGCTGAAATGTAAGCTCTATTTGGTACTTTGGTTTAAAGACTTGAAATGACTTGAAGCTCAAAGCAGACGACTTGGACTTGACTTGGACTTATGGGCCAGCGACTCGAGACTCGACTTGGACTTGCCTGAGGTCCTTACATGAGGTCAAAGACTTGAGACTTACTTGAGACTTGCAAAACAACGACTTGGTCCCACCTCTGCCATGAAGCATTCCAGACAAAGTGATAATATCTCCACAGAGAAAAGCATTTGACAGACCCTCCATCAGACAAAGTTTCCCAATGCACTTTAAAATCCACCACAAAAAAAATACACCTGTGAAATACGCCGGTCTCACTATTTTGCAGTATTTACTGTACATCTTGTCTCTGCCCCATAAATAAAAATACCTCTCTATATCTTATGTCCTCAGTACCGAGCAGCTCTGTTGAGTTTGATGGTGGACACGGCGGTGATGCTCGGAGCTCCTCAGAAATCTGCTCAGACTCAGATGGAGAAAGCCCTGGCCTTCGAGACCAAAGTGGCTCACGTAAGATACTCTTAAATACTTATACTTTGAGGTGAAGTATAATATGGTAAAAAAGATGGGTTTAAAGACGCACAATGTAACGTTTCTGGCTTTCCTGCTTGTGTTCATTTTATCGCTATTGCTCTGCCTGTTTCGTAGAGTAGAATTACTGCATATATTCAATTATAGATGTTTCAGTGCTCGAAATACATGCATTCTGTATTATGAGTGAGCTTGTAAATCCATAGATCTGACTGGTAACTTGGCCCAATGGCGCCACCGGCTTGTCGCCATGGAGATAGATGGTAGAATGCTATACTGTGGAATATTTCAGGCAAAACAGTAACTTGCAAAGAGGATGAGGAGGCTAAGGATTTTACTGAGAAAACATATCTGAACTGACAGAATGAAGGAGGGGAAAGAGAGTGCATTTATATGAGCAGGCTTAGAGATGTTTAGATGAAAGACAGATTGTAGGCTGCATCAATGTCAGTTCTGTTTGTTTTGTGCAGATCTTGATTCCTTATGAAAACCGCACCAGTGAAACCATGTACAACAAATACACGCTCTCTCAGCTACAGAAGACTATTCCACAGGTAAATATAAGTAGAATACAAAATACAACACAAAAATACATCACCTATTTGTGTTTAAATGTCCCATATTATGCTATTCTGATCTATGTTATAATGTTGTTTCCTCATCACAAACATATCTGAAGTTGTGTTTTGTTTCATTCACACATGTTTAACACACAAATCCTGCAAATTTATGCCCCATCCACACTAGTACATATTTGAGTCGTTTTCGTTGAGGATGCAGTGTTTGTTCACACTAATCTGATGGAAAATGGCTCCAGAGATGGAACGATCTGGTGCCACCAGCTCCCATGAATTCATCTGAGTATGGATCTGATCTGGCACTGTATGGACGCCGGAAAACATTGATACACTGAGCTCCTTATTGAATCACATCACTGTGACTTGCGGCTTCGCGGCACGGTGGCTGAGTGGCTAGCACTCATGCCTCACAGCAAGAAGGTTCTGGGTTCGATCCCCGGGTTGCCTGGGCCTTTCTGTGTGGAGTTTGCATGTTTCTCCCCGTGTCTGGATGGGTTTCCTCCGGGTGCTCCGGTTTCCCCCATCAACCCAAAACATGCTACATAGGTCTCCATAAAACAGTTGATAGTCATGGTCAGTTAAATACAATCAATTCAATCATTGTGTCTTTAGGCAAGACACTTCACCCACATTGCCTAGTATGAAAGTGGTGTGTGTGTGAGTGATGGTGGTGGTTGGAGGGACTGATGGCGCCGAGTGGCATGGCAGCCGCGCCTCTGTCAGTGTGCCCCAGGGCAGCTGTGGCTACAATAGTAGCTTACCATCACCAGGAATAGAGTGAATGAATAATGGTGAATGAATAATGCTGAATAATGTTGTGTAAAGCATCTTTGGGGACAGAAATGTCTGTGAAAGTGCTATATAAATAAAAATAAAAGACTTCAAGATTCGGTGGGTTTGGGACATCGGTCAGGTGACGCTATTGCAAAAAACTGTTTAAACAAACCATAGACAAATGGGAGTCAGTAACAACTGAATCTCGTCGCCGGTCCACGAAAAGTCGATTTTCACACTTGCCACCTTCCTCGGCTCAAAATCAGCTGCTGCAACTTCAGACACAGTGCTCTAAACATGCAGAAACAACGTGTCTGGGTGCAAGTTGTTTCTGATACAGTGATATGATGATTCGTTTCAGTGTAAAGTAACCTTAGTCTGAGTTCGTCTCTCCAACAGAAAATGTTCTTTTGGAGATGTAGACAGACTAATTACTCAAACATGTGTGAATGAAATAAAACACAACTCCATGTATGTTTTTGAGGAGGTTGCAACATTATGGCTTAAAGCTCACAAGAGTCAATTTTGCATAATAAAGGTCCTTTAATTTTCTTCACAAATTGTCATATAATAATACTGTAATACTTTTGTGTTGTAGTTTGACTGGTTGGGTTTTGTGAGAGCCGTACTCGAGGCTTCTGGACATTACACAGTCTCCTCTTCAGAGCAGGTCATCGTCAGGGCGCCGCAGTATTTCAAAGAACTCTTCAAACTCATCGAGGCCACGGAGCCAAGGTACAGAAACACAGACTCAAATAAAATATAAACCAGGTTATAAAGGTTCCACCACTGGCTCAGTCACAGTTATTTTTTGATTGATTCATGCATGTTTTAAGTAATAAGTAATATGTGATAGACAGACAGATATTTGCAATTATTAAAAAAAAAATCTGACTCTGGGTCATAGGGTTCAAAGAATGTCACATAGCCATTTTCAACAATAAAAACATGTAAATAAAATCTTTTCTGAGAACCTCTTTTATGAGCCACAAGATCAATAATAAACTGGTTCAATACTGATTGGATAAAACAGCTTGCCTCCCCTAGAAAGTAATATTGGCCTTTACCCTTCTTACGTGAGCAGGAAATTACAAAAATTAAAGAAAATTACTGCAATTTAAGACAATTTGAACAAGGGATTTTCAACAGTTTTATACATTCCTGGCTTCTCTTATACTTGCTGATTGTGTCTTCTCTCTAGGACTGTGGCCAACTACGTTCAGTGGAGGACAGTCTTCTCCAGAGTCACCACTTTGAGTCGACGATTCCTCTACAGATACTTGGACTATGCGCGGGTTTGTAAACACTTCTTCTGTTTTACTTTTACTGACACACTTCTTCAAGATTGGGACTAAACATGGAAATAAACCAGGACTAACCCAAGACAAGATCAAAACAAGTCTTCATCAGGACTAAATCGGGCAGAAAACAGTACAAGTGCTTTCAAGTGTGTTTTTGTACTACCTTTTTTCTGATCCAAATATTTGTCATTTGATGAAAGACTGGGACCAGGACTTCATCCAGACCAAACTAGGATATGTAAATGCAACACCTCTCCAAAGATAAATAGTTTAAGCGACGCATCACCGTTAATCTCATCAACCTGTTTTGATAGGACACCGTCTCCTTGCTTTTCCTTGTCCCTCCAGGTTACCACGGGAACGACCTCCCTGACCCCTCGCTGGGATAAGTGCGTTAACTACGTGGAGAACTCTCTTATTTATGCTGCTGGACGCCTTTTTGTCAGTGCACACTTCCAAGAGGATAAGAAACACATGGTAGGTCTACTTTTCAGATTCTCTTATATAAATATTATCTGTGTAACTCGGTGTGTTTAGAATGTGGACATTATCACTTGTAAATTGTTTAAATGGACTAAAAGCATAAAAGCTCTCAAACTGTCATGTAAAATTATTATCCTTTTAAACAAAATGTTAAATAATTGGTTGTGTTTTATTTTCATTTATTAATGTTTCAGTAATTGTTTACTGCATATTGCTCACACGCCATTAGTCTAATCCATGATGCTCCTCTGTGTTTATAAAGTCCATAAGCCTTTTATGGTTTGTAGCATTTAAGTTCTGTGCAATTTAGAGTCTGTGTATCATTTGTTCATTCATTTTTCAAAATAATACCAAAAATAAGAAAACAGAAAAAATATATATTTTCTTCATTATTTGTCTCAAAAAACCAAAATGAAAAAACAGATAACGATTTGTTTTTTCAGTTTTCGATTTTGTGTTTAAATGAATAATGGAAAAAACGGATAACGACCGTTTCCCGTTTCCGTGATTGAACCAGGATTGAACCACGACTAAAACAGAACTAAACCAGGACTAAACCAGGTCTAAACCAGGACTGAACCAGGTCTACAGCAGGACTGAGTATCAGGACGGGCCTGGAAGTGCACCTGCATAGACTGTCAGGTGATCAGGACTGAGATCAGGAACAGACCAGAACCAGACTGGGACTGAGACCGGGACTGAGACCAGTTTAGTCCTGGGTTAGTCCTGGTTTAGACCTGGTTTAGTCCTGGTGTAGTCCTGTTTTAGTCCTGGGACCAGTCTTGGTTCAGTCCTGGTCTGGTCCCGGTCTGGTCCCAGTCTCGGTCCCAGTCTGGTCCTGGTCTGGTCCCAGTTTGGTCCAGGTCTGGTCCTGGTCTCAGTCCTGACCACCCGACAGTCTACGCGGGCGCACCTCCAGGCCCGTCCCGACACTCCTGGTTCAGTCCTGGTTCAGTCCTGGTTCAGTCCTGGTTCAGTCCTGGTTCAGTCCTGGTTCAGTCCGACATCACAGTTTAAGTCTCGGAAATGGGAAACTGCTGTTATCCGTTTTTCCATTATTCATTTAAACACAAAATTGAAAACTGAAAAAACAAATCATTATTTGTTTTTTCATTTTGGTTTGGGACAAGTAATGAAGACAATAGTTGTTTTTTCATTTTTTTTGTTTTATTTTGAAAAACAAATGAACAAATGATACACAGATTATTTAGCCACAGCGTATAACTTGATAGATAGGATTTTAATATTATTCATTCAAGTTATGACTTATTTAGATGTGGAAGTAATCATCACAACCAAGATCAAGATTAAGATTAAGACTTAGATTTATACAGTGCCTTTCATGACAACCAAAGAGCTTTACAGAGGATTCATTCACTCCACCTCCTCTGTGGTGGTAAAATACTTTGGTCGCCACAGCTGCCTTGGGACAGACTGACGTGAGGCTGCCAATCTGCTCCATTGATCCCTCCGACTAACACTCACTCACACACCACTTTCATACTGGCAATATGGGTGAAGTGCCTTGCCTAAGGACACAACAACTGGCATCCACTTTAGACATACTCTAGTTCTCTCTTGGTTTGGTCTCGGTTTAGTCCTAGTACATTTTATTTCTCTAATCCTCTTTGTGTCTCTGCTCTGTCCAGATGGAGGAGTTGATTGACGGTGTCCGCTGGGCATTTATCGACATGTTGGAAAAAGAAAATGACTGGATGGACAAACCCACGAAGGCGAGAGCCATAGAAAAGGCAAGGACAAATGACATAACACAACACTGATATCAATCTGCTGCTTCAATTATTCTACTGCTCCTAATACTTCTACTTCTCCTACTCAATCTGTGTATCATTTGTTCATTCATTTTTCAAAATAAAACCAAAAATAAGAAAATTAAAAAACAACTATTTTCTTCATTATTTGTCTCCAAAACCAAAATGAAATGATTTGTTTTTTCAGTTTTTGATTTTATGTTTAAATGAATAATGGAAAAAAAAAAAAAAACGGATAATAGTCATTTCCCGTTTCCGTGGCTTTAACTGTGATGCCAGACGTTTATGCCGCATACGGACTGAACCAGGACTAAACCAGGACTACACCAGGTCCGAGAGCAGACCAGAACCAGAACTGGACCAGACTAGGACCAGGACAGACATCCAGAACTGAGACCGGGGACTAGACCAGATCTGAGACCAGGACTGAGACTGGTAACAGGACCAGGACTGAGAGCAGGACTGATACCATGACTGAGGCCGGGACCAGACCAGGACCAGACCGTGATTGAGACCAGGACCAGACTGAGACTGAGACCGGGACCAGACCAGACCAGGACAGAGACCATGACTGAGGCCGGGACCAGACTGGGACTGAGACCAGGACTGAGACTGAGACTGAGACCGGGACCAGACCAGGACAGAGACTATGACTGAGGCCGGGACCAGACCGGGATTGAGACCAGTCCTGAGACCAGTCCTGAGAGACCGGCACTGAGACCGGCACTGAGACCGGCACTGAGACAAAGACCAGACCAGGACTGAGACTGGAACCAGACTGAGACTAGACCAGGACCAGACCAGAACCAGACCAGAACCAGACCTGCACTGAGACCAGGACTGAGACCAGGACTGAAAATGGTTTAGTCCTCTTTTAGTCCTTTTTTAGTCTTGTTTTAGTCTTGTTTTAGTCCTGGTTCAGTCCGTATGCAGCGCAAAAGTCCGTCATCGCAGTGTAAGTCACGGAAACGGGAAACGACCATTATCTGTTTAAACACAAAGTCGAAAACTGAAAAAACAAATCATTATCCGTTTTTTCATTTTAGTTTTGGAGACAAATAATGAAGAAAATAATTGCTCGTTTTTCGTTTTCTTATTTTTGGTTTTATATTGAAATACACGGATTCTACTCCTACCAGCCGTATGCTGTTATAACTGAAAGCAAACATGTCCAAGCCCTCATATCTCATAATGTAATGGCCTCTGGGATTACAGGAGCAGATCTTCTCCTCTGCCTCCACATGATTTCACTAATTAGACCAGGACTGTCAAAGACCATCAGGATCAATCAGTCACTGTTCATTTCTATATTTTGACACATTAGAGCTGTTGCATCACCCAGCGCACAGAAGATTCACGATGGCAAATACAACCACACAGAACACAGAACAGAACAGGGTGATCCAAGGACGGTTAAAACCATTTCATTTTCAGACAGACATCCTGTTATTTTCCTGTGGCAGATAGACTACACTAAAAATAAACTTTGAATGAAACATGAACCACAGCAGCGTTGTCACCAGAGTTGCCATTTCCACTTCTATTAAAGTCACTATAGTGCTGCTACTACTACTGTTACTACTATTACTACTATTACTACTACTATTACTGCTGCTACTAACTACTAACAGTTCTATAAATATTGCTACTATGTACAAGCACCTGCTACTGCCACTACCACTGCACAACTACAACAAGTACTACACCTATTAGTCCACTACTACTACTAAGCCACTACTACTACTACTGTGACTACAAGTTCTACAACTACTACTGCTGCGACCACACCAAGTTCTACAACTACTACTACTACTGCGACTACAAGTTCCACAACTACAACTACTGCTACTACTACTGCTACTACTACAGCAAGTTCTACAACTACTACTACTGCAACTACAACAAGTTCTACAACTACTACTACTACTGCAACTACAAGTTCTACAACTACAACTACTGCTACTACTACTGCTACAACTACTACTACAGCAAGTTCTACAACTACTACTACTGCAACTACAACAAGTTCTACAACTACTAATACTACTACTGCGACTACAACAAATTCTACAACTACTACTACTACTGCGACTACGTTATACTACTACTACTGCGATTACAACAAGTTCTACAACTACTACTACAACAAGTTCTACAACAACTACAACTACTTCTACAACTACTAGTACAACTACTACTAGTATAACTACTACCAACAAGCCATTACTACTGCTACTGCTACGACTACTGCTACTACTGTACAACCACAACAATTGCAACAAGTTTTACAACAACTACTATTACTGCTACTACAAGTTGTACAACTACTACTACGACTGCTACTACAACAAGTTTTACTACTTCTACTACTACTGCTACTACAACAATTATTACAACAACAACAACTAGTACTACTACTACCACCTACAAGCCATACAAGCCAATACTACTGCTACTACTGTAACTACTGCTACTACTGTTACTACTACTACCTAACTATAAGCCCTTACTGCAGAGTGTTCTGTAGCTGTTCTCATGAAAAAATAAACCTTGACCGAGGAGCTAAGAAATGAATTCTTTGAAAACTTTTCTTTACACTGCTACAGTATTGACTTTACGACCACATCACATCGATTAAAGACGAACACGACCTGGAGAAACCTCTGCTGTTTCATAGTGGTTTATGTAACCATATACATGACTCTCCTCTCTTCACTTTGGTGCAGTACTGAATATTGATACTTTGAAGCAATGTCATACTAGGGGTGTTCTACATGTACCTCTATGGTAGAATGTTCAGAAGACACAATGCAAACATTAGCCAATAAAGCAAGAAATGTTTTGAGACTCGGGAAATAAAAAATGGATTTAAACATCACATTTTCAGGAGCCTGTGATCAATATGAGCGTTAATAGTCCTGTTAAGAGTTCAATGTGACTTTCAAAAAAAAAAAGTGACTAACTGAAAAACTGACTGTAATTTTATGTTTAAGAAACTTGTTTAGCAACACAAATCATCTCACCTGTTGTACTTCCAGCTAAATCAGATCCTTCTGGTCAGACTGTGTGAAAATAAAGGTCAGATTCAAATCTAATAGCGCTTCAGACGGAGCAGTGCCCTCAGTTAACATCACATCCCCTGGGAATGTTGATACATCAGCTGCAGAGTGTCATTTCTGATGCTAAATCTGTCGGTGTCTGTTCTCAGGCTCACGCTGTGCTGCCTAAAGTCGGATACCCAGAGTTTATCCTCAACGACACCTACCTCAATGAAGATCTGAAAGAGGTCAGTATTTTTTTTATTTTATTTTTTTTTAAGTGGAACTTAACCCTAAATTAACTTTTTTCCAACTTATCTCTGATGTTGTAATAGTATTGTCCTCTTTTGCCCTGTTTGGCAATTTTAGTACAAACTAGGTTCATTTGGAGCTTTGTGTTAAAAAACTACTGTGTGCGCTGCCCCCAGTGCCCCCTGCAATTTCTTTGATTCCTTTTTATTTCGAGTTTGTGCCAAGAGAGAAACAATAATCATGCATACTACATATACACTGTAAACAAAAAAGGAGTGGGAAAAAGAAAAACTTATATTAACCCACCACTATTCATTACATAGTTTAAAAAAAATATGTAGTTGCACATATACATTGATCACGGAACTTTACAAATACTAATACTATTAACTACTAATATTGCAAGTACTATGTGACATCACACAGGACTGCCCTGTTAAAGCCAGGTGTACAGTTCAGGTGTACACTGAAATTGTGCATCTGTCTAAAACAGACTTAAAGCAGACCTATTATGTAAAATCGACTTTTCAGAACTCTTAAACCTTCTCGTTTACCCTCTAAGTTATATCTGAAGTGATTTGTTCATGTTTGAGTAATCTTTAATCTCTTATTTTCAAGATGCCATATTGCCAATCAACTCCTGTTTTCACTGCTACGGGCATACGCCAACTGTTCTGAACTTACTTCGTTCTCCAATTCTATTTTCTTAAATCGGTGATAGGATTTGGCAACATTGTCAATTTTCTGCTTGTCAGTGCGATGTGCAGCTATTCATCTGAGCTCTGACACCTGCATGACTCTTTGCTGCGATGACGTTTACTGTGACGTCAGCTCCCATTGGGCACCGTTATTTTCTAAAGCGGAAATTAGCAGACTTGTTTCTTTTATCAAGTTGTTTTAGCACTGACACTTTAAAAATGTGGGAGAATAAATTGGTTGGAGCTGGGCAAGTAGCCAGTTGTGCTTAGTTTAGGTTCACATACATTTCTGAGCATGTGGGAATAGCTTTTGTTTAAATCTGTGTTTTTTTTTATAGTTACAGTTTACGGAAAACGACTACTATGGGAATGTGATGCAGACGCTCAAGTTTATCGCTCGCTCCGACCTCGCCTGGCTCAGAAAAACGGTCCCACGGACAGAGTGAGTTTAATCTGACAAAAAGAGAAAATGGGAGGGTTGTGTCAGGGAGGGCATCTGGCATAAAATCTAAAATACACAGTTACATTGTTTGTCATAACTGATAAGTTGTATAACTTATTGCACTAAAAAAGTAAGGGGACATTTTTATTACCATATTTATTTCTCATAATGTAAATTACATGTAGATAAACTCCAAGTATGTTTGTGATGAGGAAACAACATTACATAAATAAATCTGAAAATAGCGTAATAAGGGCCCTTTAAATCAATTTTATCTTTATTTTTTTCCCCCCGATGGTAGTGCCTTGAATTAAAATTCTGTTCTTGTTTTCATTGCAGATGGTTCACCAACCCCACAACAGTCAACGCTTTCTACAGCTCCTCCACAAATCAAATCAGTGAGACAATTCAATCACACACAGTACTCTCATAGAAAGGGGATTAAATGTGTGACTAGAATAATATTTTACACCAGGTTTCATAATCTCACTGCATGCAGGTAAAGATATTCAATTTAAAAAGGTGCACCATGTATTTTCTACTGGTGCTGCTTTGTCACTATTGAGAAACTAGAACTTGCCTGGCATGTTCCACAGTATAACTTTAAAATTATGATAGATTAAACATTTTTCAAGCCTCTCCATGGAGAAGAAAGATTTAATGTCAGAACTGTCAGAGCTGTGGAACATTCAAAGGAAAACCAAAACAAAATGTGTATAAATAATTTAAAGGTCATATATTACACAAAATAGACTCTTGTGAGCTTTAAGTCATGTTATAATGCTGTTACTTCTTCAAAAACATGCCAATAGTTGTTTTGTTTCATTCACAGTTTTTGAGTAACTACTACTACTACTACTTACATTACCACTACAACAAGTACTACATTTATTAGTGCTGCTACATATAAACCATACAACCCACTACTACTTCTGCAACTACTACTTCTACAGCAAGTTCTACAACTACTACTACTACTACTACTACTACTGCGACTACAACAAGTTCTACAACTACTACTACTACTCCGACTACAAGTTCTACTACTACTACTGCGACTACAACAAGTTCTACAACTACTACTACTAGTATAACTACTACTACTACCTACAAGCCATTACAACTGCAACTGCTACGACTACTGCTACTATAACCACAACAACTACAACAAGTTTTACAACAACTACTATTACTGCTACTACAAGTTGTACATTGTACAGAAAACATTCAAAGGAAAACCAAAACAAAATGTGTATAAATAATTTAAAGGTCATATATTACACAAAATTGACTCTTTAAGTCATGTTATAATGCTGTTACCTCTTCAAAAACATGCCCAGAGTTGTTTTGTTTCATTCACACTTTTTGAGTAACCCTTTATTATTAGTCTGTCTACATCTTCAAAGCTCAAAATGCTCTGTATCACCTTGGGTTTTCACGAAGCAGTAGTTTTCAAGTCAACAACTTTAACTTTTAGTTCAGTAGAGATCAACATGTCCAGATCTGAAATCATCCACATGACATGATTCTAGTGCACTTTCTCAAAGACTGAGTCGCAAGAGATTTTTTTTGGGTCGTCTTGTCACAATACATATACATATACATATACATATACATACATTTCAGTGCACTGTCCCCCACTCCTCACTTCTCCGTGCATGGAATCTTTTTACTTTTTAGCAGTACCGCCTTGCCTAACCAATTTTCTGTGGGAAACACTGATTACTCTTTTTCACTGTTTAACATTTGAGATATATTAATTGTTCAGAGAGACACGACCCCTCAGTCAACAATAAAATCCCCTCATTAATGTTAAATAATGGTCAGAAATTTATTTTGTGATTTACGAATAATGTCTGTTGACTTGGGGCACGAAGATTTGCAACTTTAAAAATATGGGTCCCCAGATAAAAAGTTTGGGAAACACTGTTCTAGTAAATGTGTATAGGGTTTAAAAACACAGTGGAACGCTTCCTGTATTATCACATGACAACACAATTTGGAACAGAGTGTTTTCTGTTTAAGAGAAGATCTAAATATGCAGGATTTGTGTGTTAAACAAGCGTAAATGAAACAAAACTCAGCTCCAGGTTTGTTTGTGATGAGGAAACAACATTATAACAGATCAGAAATAAGCATAACATGGGCCCTTTAATAAATCTATAGCTATAACATAAAGCTGAACACATTATAGTATTATCATATGTCAGTGTCCAATGTAAAAGTTATTGAGAGCAAGAGTCAAAAATAAATTAAACAGATAGAAAAAAGATAAAAATGGCTTGGTTTTTGTAAGTGTAAAAATAATCAGTTGTTTTGTTATCTAGGATTTCCTGCCGGAGAGTTACAAAAGCCGTTTTTCTGGGGAAAGGAGTATCCAAGGTGAGAGTCATGGTTTAGTCAGAGGGGGGAAAAAAATAGAGCATCATCTTAACACAATGCACAACTCTGCTGAATACATTTAATTATTTTCAATTTTAATGATGCGGTTTTGAGGATGGCTGACCTATAGACATTCAGTTATAACTATATTTCTATGGGTAGAGCATTCAGAAGTTCAAATGTTTTGTTTTAAATAGGCTTTATTCACACTTAGGAGCACATTTGGAAACATAACAACTACGATAACGACTTTGAGTGTAGTAACGACCCTGGGCATGTGATAAAACCATGGATTCAGCAGCAGCGCTCTTCACAACCTGCCAAAGCTTTTCCATGGGGGACCTGACTCATCGCATGTTCAATGTCCCTTACAGGCAGCTGGTCATAACTGTTGATTTACCGAACTTAACAGAAGGCTCCAATTACATCTTTTTTTAATTTAAGTTAGCCAAATTATAATACACAAATTAAAACGGACATACATTAACATCTAGATGAAGAAAACGAGGCCATTTTCTCAGTTTTCCCAGATTTTGTTGGATTTACTATCACCAGCAGATCCAAAAGGAAGTCATCATCCACATGTTTCCAAACGTCCTCTGATTTATGTGACATAAGCGTGAACAGTGCCCATTGCAGTAGCCATGGCAAAGATCTTATTTTTTCATCAGTGTGTACTTAACTTATATTGTACAACCCTCTATACTCATTCACTACCTTCTGTATTGAGTGCATATAGACTTAAGTCATTTGTCTAACTATATTAAAATTGTCTTACTCCAGATCGCTAAGTTATGGAGCCATTGGAGTTATCGTTGGCCATGAGCTTACACACGGCTTTGACAATAATGGTCAGTATCATTTTTAAAAATAAGAATTAATATATGAATGTATTTTTAGCTATTAAGTCTTATTTTGTTGTATTTTTTGTTCCTGATAGGCCGAAAGTATGACAAAAACGGCAACCTGGATCTCTGGTGGAGCAACTCTTCCATAAACGCCTTCACTGAAAAAACTCAGTGTATGATCGACCAGTACAACGACTACCACTGGGAGGAGGCGGGGCTTAATGTGAGTCAAGAAGTTCTCGTTAATTATGAGCAATTTCATTATGAAACGGGTATTTTGTGTGTTTCCAGGTTCGTGGTAAAAGGACTCTGGCAGAAAATATTGCTGATAATGGAGGAATAAGGGAAGCTTTTAGGGTAAGTTTTTTTTTGTTGTTGTTGGCATTATATGGGCAATACCATCTGAAAACACTGTAGGTGAGTGGACTATACAAATAGAGATGAGTGAGTCCAATGTTTTTTCAGTGATATCACAGCCAGGATTTGTTTAATTTTGGATATTGAAAATTAAGATGGTATTTAGAACCAATATTTGACCTGAGCCAACATTCCCATTTTAAAATCTTAAAAGTGGTAATGGGAATAAATAGAAGATATTGTTAAAAGGCTCACATTACAAAATTTTCGATCTATGTTATAAGTTGTGTTTTCTTTCATTCATACATGTTTAACGCACAAACCCTGCATATTTAAAATGAAAACGCTTGGGGGTAAAAACTACAAAATATTTTATCGGAAGTGCCTTTCGGTGACGGTGTTTTTGGGGCTTAAAAACTTAAAAATCTGAAACCATCCTCCAGAGCGGAAAAGTTGTATACGCTCCACGGTAGCTTTGCCGTCTATACTGCCCAAGATGCAAAACTCTGGTCAGATCTGCTCACGTCACGTACACATTTACATCTCATACATCACTACCTAGTGTCACCACCAAGCCGCCTGGCATACATACCCAATCGAATTCCACACACTTTTGCTTCACCGTATGCACGCAGATTTCCTCCTGAAAATACTCGTCTAAACATGGAATAAAGCGTGAAGACGCAGTGCCATTTTTGCGTCTTCAGTTCAGACCGTCATCATATAAACGTAGCCTTAGGCCAACAGAAAAAACTCGGTTCCACATTGTGATGTCATGTGGTCTTACAAGTGCTCCATTGTGTTTTTAAGCTCCTCACACCTACACTAGAATCATTTGGATAATTTAAGCCCTGCAATTGCCTCTCTTGAATAAAAAAAAGGTGAAAACTACCACTATATAACATCACAACAGAGCATTTCGTGTTTTGTAGATGTAGACAGACAAAGAATTTAGGGTTACAAACATGTACGAATGAAACTAAACACAACTTTATGTATGGTTTTGATAAAGTAACAACATTTTAACATAGCCAAAACCTTACAGGAGTCCATTTTGCGTAATATAGGCCCTTTAACAGCTCAAAAAAAAAAGAACTATATTACACAGACGAGAGTTAAACAGTAAAGAATAGTGCCTGAAAACTACAATAGTTACTCAAATACTAGCCCCCTCTGTCTGCCCAGCGTAGAGTGATTTTGATGCGTATACACTACCGGTCAAATGTTTTAGAACACCACACTTTTTCCAGTTTTTTACTGTTTACTGTTGACCAAAAAGCATTCTAAACTTTTGATTCATGAAAGTGTCCACCTTTGGCAGATATAACAGCTGAACACACTCGTGGCTCGTACTTTTTACAATAGAAATCAAATATTCTTCAGAAAGTTCTTCCCAAGTCTGTTGCAGAAGTTTCCATAAATGTGTGGCACTTGTAGGTTGCTTGGCTTTCACTCTTCTGTCCAGTTCATCCCAAACCAGCTCGATGGGGTTTAAGTCTGGAGACTGTGCTGGACACTCCATGTTTTCAAGTTTACCATCTTGTTCTTTTTTCTTGAGGTAGTTTTGGCAAAGCTTGGAGTTGTGTTTTATATCGTTTATTTATTTATTTTAAACCTATGGCTGTTCAGTACTTACCTTTGTACCATTTCAAGCTCTTCATTGAACTTGCACGACTTGAATTGCGATAAATAACAAAAAAAATGGGGGTGTTCTAAAACTTTTGACCGGTAGTGTACCCTCTATGATACTACAGATACAGATGTATACATTTGTATTGTCTGGGCAGGCGTACCGGAGGTGGGTGGAGCAGAGCAGAGGGGGGGTGGAGGAGCCTCTTCTTCCTGGAGTGGGACTCACCAACGACCAGCTGTTCTTCCTCAGCTACGCCCACGTGAGTCTGCACCACTCTCCTACTCACAAGAGCCACTCAGATCTGCTCTACGGGAGTAAATACTACAGACAAAGTGGAGTTAATGGAGCAGAGCGCATTAGTACTTTAGTGTAGGTCTGGGGGTTGAAAAAGGGCACTTGTTTTCCCAGGGCCCCGTGAGGTACTCCTCCAAAAGTCACAATGTGTAATTTTCTTATATACTAGTCCAGGGGTGTCAAACTTAAATTCACAGAAGGCCAAAATTTAAAAGTTTTGGGCCAAACTAAATATTTATTGAAAAATTTCAACAACATCTGCATGTTTTCTCTTCTTTTGAGATATAATGTTAAACCATTTCTTATTAAAATAAATGTTTAATAATAGTTTTGCTTAAACATTGAATCCAAAACAACCAAAATTTAAAATAATAACACAATTTTAAATCAATCAGTAGTCTCTATAGCCTATCTGTAGCCGGCGGGCCAGCTCTAATACATGTTTGATATGATCTTGCAGGCCAAATATAATTATATCGCATGCCAAATTTGGCCCCCAGGCCTGAGTCTGACATGTCTGTACTAGTCCATCACAAATAATCATAAAAACATTCAATATTTTTGTCATTCAACTTTTTCATAATATTTAAATTTTCTGAGACACGTAATTGGTTTTTCATTATCTGTTTTCATTAATTTCATTATCTGTATTTCATTATCTGTCAGCCATAATTATAAATATTCAAGAAATAAACTAAATAAATAAAAAAAATGTATCATGAGTCTATATAATATATGGATTTGACTTTCTGAAATGGGTGACAAAAAATATAAAACTTTTTCATGATATTCTAATTATATGTGATGGACTAGTAATAGAAAACAACATGGAGTCATGTTTTGGCTTCATTGCTGGGATGGGGTTTTGGAAATAGACATCCACTTTCAACGATGCTTATGAAGCTCACAACAGTCAATAGACCGTGTTAAGTTACTACTTTATAAATTCTGCTAACATAAGTCCAGTGGAGAACAACAGAGAAATAGTTCAGCAAAAAAAGAGGTCTGAGGTTTTGTTCGATGGATGATTGGCTGCAAGAGGAAGACAAAACAGTACAGAGGGGATATCTGCCTTGCTTATAGAGAGATCTACCAGCTGATGTCTGTAAATGGACATGTGGCAAGGGAATAAACCCTTCAGTATTATTGTTTTAAAGCAGCAGCTTCAGCCCTGTCTCAAGAAAACTGCCTGTTTCTAGGCCAAGACTGCGCCCCCACCTTGTGAAGTAAAGACACTAGCGAACATTCATAGGCCAACCACAGCAGCCTCTGTTTCTGAGAGAAAGACACCAGCCCATGACTCAAGGAGGCTTGTGTTTCTGTGGAGAAGACAATCCCCTACATTGGACAGTACAGACATCAAAACAGGTTTATGACACCCTTTTTCAAAAGCCCCCTGTTAGTCCAAAGCCCCTGTTTCAAATAAAGCATCCTGTTTCTATAGAGAAGGCCACACCCCCACATTGTGAAGTAAAGACACCAGTAGAGGTTCATAGGCCAGCCACACCAGCCCAGTTTTTACTACAAACACACCAGTGCCCCCTGTCTCAAGGAGGCGCTGTGTTTTTATGGAGAGGTCTGGCTCCCCAGATCGTGAAGTCAAGACACTGTAGAGGTTCATAGGCCAGCCACACCAGCCTCAGTTTTTACTACAAACACACCAGTGCCCCCTGTCTCAAGGAGGCGCTGTGTTTTTATGGAGAGGTCTGGCTCCCCAGATCGTGTGAAGTCAAGACACCTGTAGAGGTTCATAGGCCAGCCACACCAGCCTCAGTTTTTACTACAAACACACCAGTGCCCCCTGTCTCAAGGAGGCGCTGTGTTTCTATGGAGAGGTCGGCTCCCCAGATCGTGAAAGTCAAGACACCTGTAGAGGTTCTTAGGTCAACCAACCAGCCTTGGTTTCTAATACGAAGACACGAGCGCCCGTGTCTCAAGGAGGCTCCACGTTTCTATGGAGAAGTCAGTCCTCCAGTTTTGTGAAGTAGAGACACCTGTAGAGGTTTTAGGCCAACCAAACTAGCTCGGGGTCCTCAAACGACACACCAGCGCCTCCTGCCCAGATTGTAAGATAATACGCTGACCACATCAGCACTGGATTCTAAGAAGATACCTACCCTTTCTCAGTCCAGTTGGCAAAGTGGTGATCAATAAGATACCATCCCTCTCTAATGACGATGATGAAGCGAGTGAAGAGAGGGATGATGAAGAAAGACAGGAATACCAATGGAACCGAGAGCTCTTCACGATAATGGCATCCACTATAATAGAGAAGGTGGAGAAATATAACAAGAAGTGTCAGAAGTACGATCTGGATAAGAAGTACTTCAAAACCCAGACTAAGTCCTTAGCAGCAGACCTGGCTGCTGAACTCAGCGGATGGCCCATTGCTGTGGTACCATCTAGTGCCAACGCTCTTAAAGTAGCCAGTGATGTGATGAAGGAACTGAAGAAGAAGTACTCAAAGAAACAGATCTGTACTTATTTTGTAGAAGGTGATTTCACGCCGATTCTCGTGCAGGCGGCTAAACAGCGTCTGGTCTCTGGTACGGGCATGATGCATAAGACTTACGAATGGGAGAGAGAGGACTTCTTAAACTTGACCACCTGGCTGATCACCGAGCTGTGTAAAGAGGAGCTGGTTCATAACCCAAGCATCTCCTACCAGTTAGCTGAGCAGTTAATGGAGGAGGTCAAAGATTGGCCCATTTTTATGAAGCCAAGCATGAAGTATAAGAAAAAGTTGGTCCGGTCTGTGATCAAGAAGATCACAAAATATTATTCAATAAGTGCATTCATCCTTTGCCTTCAGGATGGACCAATGGACCGGAATATCTTGGATAAGCTAAAGAAAAAGCTGTGCACACCTCAAACAGGGGTCAGGCCTTTTTTCAAAGCTGTAGTCAAAAAGATGAGGTCTTAAAACACTGTACAGCCCAACAGAGACAGAGTGAAACATTGATGAGCACTTTTAATGCTTTTTAATGCATGTATATTTACAAAAGATTGATAATTTGTATGTGGTTGAAATCAGTATTGCATTGGAAGTTTTGATTGTTGCATCCAATGTGTGAGCAGCACCATTGTCAATAGTACATATTACTTCAAGTAAGAGTGAATGAATAAATGCTGATGTTGATCTGAAGTACGGAGCCCGCCCGATGACGTACGTACGCGAAAAAAGATATTAAATCGTCGCCTCAAATTACTATTTCGTTCAAACAATATATAATTCGTTCCCACACACTTTAGATATATCCCTCGCACGTTTCGTTCACGTTTTCGACGTTTTAGATATCGTTTGCACGTTTTGATTAAATCACGAATTAAGAAAATGCCGCCAATTAAACAAACAGGGCGTGGTGTTCGGTTGATTTGGCAAGTTCTTCTTGCATGGCTAGCTGGACCTCGGACTTCAGCAGACACAAATAAAGGTAAGATATATCATTATTTATATGTCTCTCCCCCCCCCCCCCCCATTTTTGACAACGTATATTGCTCCCTACTCAAATGTATGCTTATGTAAATGTAGGCTTATATAAAATCCAGGATCGTGTAGTAGCGTGGCATAGTGTGCATGCTATAGCTAAATAAGAAAACAAAACAAAATGCTAGCTTAAATACTAGTGAGCTAATGCTGCTTGCTTATAGTGGAAATGTTATGGAGTAAAGTGACAGTAAAATTGTCCTAATTGTTTACCGTGTGTTCATGTAGCAATAGATGCTCAACTGCTGCTTTTTTGAGGGAGCGTAACACAGAGGAGGGAGTCATCCAGACACTGAAGGATGAAAATGTAAGTTTCTCTGTTTTTCCACCTCAGAACATTGATCTCGTAACATCTATAGCCTACAATACAAGTGCCAAACACACATCCATATAGAATGTAAGATACCGATTTGGATGAAATGCGAATAGACCTGTATAGACCCAGTGTTAGCCCCAATTTCGTCTTAGCGTTAGCCATCTATCACCACAAACTATGAAATACCAGGACTGTTTTGAAGACTTACAACCACTCAACTACACGTGAGTAACACCAGAGCCTGATAGAAATCACTGCCACATGTAGAATTGTTTTTGCATTGTTTATTGACGTAGCGATTAGCATCGAAAAGAAGTTATATGTTAACGACCACGTAATAAACATTTCGTAAATCTAACGCTATGCTGGACAATAATACGCCAAAAAATAAAGAGGGCCACAACAGTTTGACAAGAAACCCCTCGATTTATTTCATCCAGAGCCAATTGTCTGGGCTGAGGACTAAACCAGAACTGAACCAGGACGGACCGAGTGTCTGAACGACCGGAGTTGTGCCCGCGGTGGCGGTGGGTGGACCGGCTCAGAGCTCCGCGCCCCGCTGCCGTCACCGGAACGCGCTCCGCGGATTTGGTGTCCTCTTTCTCTCTCTCGCTCGTTCGCTCGCGCTCTCTCTCTCGCCTTCTTTCTTTCAAGTCCAGGACTAATCTTTGTGGAGAGAGAGGGGACGGGGTCCTGGTTTAGTCCTGTTTTAGTCTAGTTCAGTTCAGTTCTGGTTTAGTCCTTAGCTGTTGAGGCGTTTGATAAAGGTAAACATTAGCCTAAGTGATGTTAAAAGTTAGCGAGAGACGCTTCCATTTCACATGTTTCCATTTCGCATGAGTTACACACTGTATTGGCTCTGGATGAAATAAATCGAGGGGTTTCTTGTCAAACTGTTGTGGCCCTCTTTATTTTTTAGCGTATTATTGTCCAGCATAGCGTTAGATTTACGAAATGTTTATTACGTGGTCGTTAGCATATAACTTCATTTCGATGCTAATCGCTACGTCAATGAACAATGCAAAAACAATTCTACATGTGGCAGTGATTTCTATCAGGCTCTGGTGTTACTCACGTGTAGTTGAGTGGTTGTAAGTCTTCAAAACAGTCCTGGTATTTCATACTTTGTGGTGATAGATGGCTAACGCTAAGACAAAATTGGGGCTAACACTGGGTCTATACAGGTCTATTTGCATTTCATCCAAATCGGTATCTTACATTCTATATGGATGTGTGTTTGGCACTTGTATTGTAGGCTATAGATGTTACGAGATCAATGTTCTGAGGTGGAAAACAGAGAAACTTACATTTTCATCCTTCAGTGTCTGGATGACTCCCTCCTCTGTGTTACGCTCCCTCAAAAAAGCAGCAGTTGAGCATCTATTGCTACATGAACACACGGTAAACAATTAGGACAATTTTACTGTCACTTTACTCCATAACATTTCCACTATAAGCAAGCAGCATTAGCTCACTAGTATTTAAGCTAGCATTTTGTTTTGTTTTTTTATTTAGCTATAGCATGCACACTATGCCACGCTAATACACGATCCTGGATTTTATATAAGCCTACATTTACATAAGCATACATTTGAGTAGGGAGCAATATACGTTGTCAAAAATGGGGGGGGGGAACATATAAATAATGATATATCTTACCTTTATTTGTGTCTGCTGAAGTCCGAGGTCCAGCTAGCCACGCAAGAAGGACTTTCCAAATCAACCGAACACCACGCCCTGTTTGTTTAATTGGCGGCATTTTCTTAATTCGTGGGAACG